GAATGCTTTTCTTATTAAAGTAATTCAAACATTTGAATGTTTAATAAAATTAGCTTCAAATAGTATTACTTATCATGAATTTCAAACTATTTTATTAGATTATGATATCATAAAATATGTTAAAAATTTATTGTAAATAAATTATACTTTTTATCAAAAAATAAAGTATAATTTTATTTTAATTTTAATATAAACTTTATCAATAAAATTCAAAATCTAATTTTATTGATAAAGTTTTAACCCTTAAAATGAATCAAAATAATTCAAATGAACAACAGAATGATAATTTAGAAACTGAAAACAAAGAAATGAGTAATTTTGAAAGATCAATATATTTAATAGAAAGAAACTTACAAGAAATAACACCACAAGATAAAATCAATCTAAGAAAGATTGTAATGGAGCGACCATTAGTTATCTACTGGGGAACAGCTATCACTAATCCGTTACATGTAGCATATTTAATACCAATGATGAAGATAAGAGACTTTCTTTTAGCTGGTTGTGAAGTTAAAATACTATTTGCTGATATTCATGGATTTCTAGACAATCTTAAAGCAACTCCTGAACAAGTTAAGAAAAGATATCTTTATTATGAGAAGATAATTAAAACAGTATTAAGTCAAGTAGTAGATTTAGAAAAGGCTAATCTTAAATTTATTAGAGGATCAGAATTTCAACTTTCTAATGAATACAGCTATGATCTTTTAAAGCTCTCGACTTTAACTTCTATTAGAGATCTTAAAAGAGCAGGTGCAGATGTTGTTAAACAATCTGAGAATCCAATGATAAGCTCTTTAATATACCCCAATATGCAGGCATTAGATGAAGAATATTTAAAAGTAGATGCACAATTTGGAGGGGTTGATCAAAGAAAAATCTTCATGCATGCTAAAACCTTTTTACCAAAAATTGGTTACAAAAAAAGACTTCATTTAATGAATCCAATGATGCCTGGATTGAATTCAGAAAAAATGTCTTCATCAGAAGATTCATCAAAAATAGACTTTCTTGATTCGGATAAAATAATTATCAAAAAGATAAACAAAATATTTTGTGAAGAAGCTAATATTGTGACTAATGGAATTTTAACCGTTTTCAAGTATTTATTGTTTAAATTCTTTGAGGGTAGAAAAATTTTGGGATGTGAAACATACTCAGATTTAGAAAAGAGTTTTTCTGAAATGAAAATACATCCAAAGGATCTTAAAATTGAATGTTCAAAACTTTTAATTGAAATTGTTAAACCAATTAGAGAAGAAATGTTGACTTGTCCTGAACTAGTGAAAGATGCTTATAACAGAAAATAAATATTTTGTTTTAAATTCTATAAATTTTATCAAGTGATTGATTATATAATTTTTAGATGGGAGAAGTAAAAAAGATAAAATTTAAATCAAAGAATGTTAAAAAGATTCTATTAGACTTTGTTTTAGAGATATTTGCTAATTTTAAAGAAGAAAGTCTACCAGAAAGAGTAAACATAATTAAAGATAAATTAGATGAGAAATTTGATGGTGGGTGGAATGTTTGGTGTGGGAAACATATAACGGGTGTTTGTACTTATATAACACGTACTTTTATAGAATTTGAACATGATGAAGTTTTTTATACAATTTATCAAACTTACACACCAAAATAAAGAATTTATAAATTAAATTTTAAAAAAATTTTACAAATTTTGATGGCAACAAAGAAAACACAATTTAATACGAAAAAACCAAAATCTGGTAGTTTTGCTGATTTTTTATACAAAGATAGATTTTATAACAACAAAGGAAAAAAGAAAGTTGTAAATAAAAAATCAGTTGTTGAGTATTCTGGTCTTTCAGCGCTTCAAGAGAAAATTGATACTAATAAGAGAGTTGAACTGGATATAGAAAATGACACTAATTTAAGTGTAGAAAAATTTAAGAATTTGATAAATTCTTACATTCAGATTTTAAATAGTTTAGACTATTCATTATCAATTCCACCCAGAGTTCCTTTTAGTAATATTAAGAAAGAACATTACAAGTATGTTGAACTTGCTGCTTTCAGTTATTGGAAATCTACAAAGGGTGACTTGATATTTGAGAGGAATTTAGAAACTTGGAGACAGTTTTGGATAACTTGTGAAAGAGCAACCATTATAGCACAAGTGATTGATTCAAGAAATCCAAATTTATTTTTTAATAATGATATTTGTAAGGCTTTTCCAAATAAGAAACATTTAGCTTTGTGTAATAAGTCTGATTTGATAGTTAATGATGATAGTTTAAAAGAATTTTTTACTGATATTGATTATTTAACTTATTCAAGTAAAAGTGATGATAATTTTTTAAACTTAGAAATAATAATTGATTCTAAGTTTAAAGAATTATTAGATGATCGTGACAGGATGATTGGAATGATTGGTTATCCAAATGTAGGTAAAAGTTCTACAATTAACATGATTTTTAAAAATAAGAAAGTGAGTGTTTCAAGCACGCCTGGTAAGACAAAGCATTTACAAACAGTTAATGGTAGTAAATTTACTTTATTAGATTGTCCAGGACTGGTATTTCCTAAACATTCTAAATTAACCTTACTTTTTATGGGAGTAATCAATTCTGAACAAATTTATGATTTAATGAGTTTTGAAAAAGATGTTTTAAGTGTCATTGGAATTCCTAATATAATAAAAGCCTATAATTTAGATGAAACTAAACTTAAAAATAATGATATATTAGACTTAGTAGAAAAGTATAAAGGAGTAAATAGGAGTAGATGTTTAAAAATGATCATAACTGATTTTGCATTGGGACAAAAAAATTTTAGTGATTAATTTCTATTTTAGTTAATAAATCTTTAATATTTATTTGTTTGTTTTCTCCTTTGATAAAATAAATTTTCCTTTGTTTACTCCTATATAAATGAAAACCATAAGCATTGTATATGATGATGGCGAGACTTTTACAGAGCCTATGATATCTTCAGCTGATAAAGCATTATATAAACACTTACAAAGATCACTAGATAAGCTTACCAAATTAAACAAAGCTTTTGATCAATTCACTAATGCTGAAAAAATAGATTTAGAACAACCAATGAGTATTTCAACCAAGACAGAAGAGATAGTTTTTGATGAATCAGACAAATATAAAGAGGTGTCAGAACCAAAAGAATTTGATTTAACAAAAAAAGAAATAGACGATGTTCAAATGAATCCAGTAGGGAATAAAAAATTTGTAATAAAGTTTATGAGTCCCCAACTAATAACAAAGAAATCAATGATTAGTCAAGTAAGACCAATTGATATGGATTTATTAAAGGTAAAGATACCTGAATCACTTAAAACAATAGTTTCTCTAAATCCATCAATTATGAGTATTGGTGATCTTACGACTATTTGTCTTGTAAATTGTAAAGAACAGGTGGGATCAAGAATAATTCAAGAAAAGATTGAATCATGGAATGAAAAGGAAATAGACATTTTTATAGAACAAATCGAACAATTCATCAAAGAATTATCAACTAACTTATTTGGAAATTACGTCATTCAAAAACTGATTGAACATTCAAATAAAAGACAGTTGAGTATTTTTAGAAATTCGTTTGTAGGTTACATGGTTCCTATTTCAAATAACATTTATGGTTGTAGAGTGATACAAAAGCTTATTGAAGTTGATGAAGATATTGATGTATTAGTTGGAGAACTATTTGATGGAATGGAATTGGTTTATGAAAATAATCACGGTTCACATGTTTTCCAAAGACTAGCTGAGATAAAAAAATATCAAAGTAGACTAGTTAGTATTATTAAACCTAAAACAATTGAATTAGCTATTAATAAGTTTGGATGTAGAATTATACAAACACTTTGTTTGAACACTAAAAACTCAGATCAATTAGCTTTTATAATTTTAAGTAAAATAGATGCACTTATTATTGATCAATTTGGAAATTATATTATACAAATGTTAGTACAACAAGATCAATATAAAAATTATATCACTAACTACATTAAAGAGAATATTGTATTTCTTAGTAAAAACAAGTATTCATCAAATGTTGTTGAGAAATTGATTAGATTTATAGAACCTAATGATTTAGAAAAATTCTTTAATAAGTGTTTAGTTTTAAATCAAAATAACATTCCTTATTTCATTGATATGATTTGTGATAGTTATGGTAATTATGTAGCACAAAGTCTTTATGTTTATGGTAACAAGGATATTAAATATCAAATAGAATCACTAATTAACAAATATAAAGATATTCTTAAAAAATCTCCTTACGTTAAACATATCTTATATAAAATGAATAAATGATTTAATCATTAAAAATTTAACTAATTTTTCAGGTAAAAATTTTTTATCAATTAAAGACAAATTTTTTTATAAAAATTTTTAAAATAAAACACCCTTAAAAATGAATGAAATTTTAACAACAAATGAGGCATTTAAAGTAGTGTTTTATCCAGCTAATGTTATTGATTATTTTAGAATGGCAAGTCTTTACATTTCTGTAATGTTTAATGGTGTAGGATTTGTTTGTATTTATTCACTTTCAGTTCTATTAGATTATTTTGATGGAATGGTTGCTAGAAGTACTGAAAAGACTTCTGAACTTGGTAAAATACTTGATATGATTACTGATAGAATTAGTACTGTAGTTATACTAGTTAAGGCGATAGCTTTAGATAATTCATTGTTATTTAATGGACTGACTTACATAGTCTTTGATTTGTTTGGTCATTTGTTTTATTTTATTGGATGTCTTCTTAATAAAAGTCATCATAAACAACCTAATAATGCTATACTTGCCTTATACTATAAACAATATGTACTTTACACTCTATGTTTAGGTTCTGAGATTGGTTTTATTGTTATTTATATAATCAGTTATATTAAGACAAGAAAAGAATATCGTTATTCTAGTAGAATTATACAAATTTTAGAATCTTTAGAATTTATTGCTAAGATTTTAATATTTTCTAAATTCATCACTAATTTAGCACAGATGTATTGTGGTATTTTAGGGTTGGCAGAATTGGAGAGTAAATTTGGTTTGGTTGAATTAAATAAAGAAGGACAAGATAGGAAAGTTAAAGTTTAAAATTGAATAAAAAGTAAAAAAACTTTGTTTCTTTTAACAAACAAATATTAGAAACTATAAATATCTAGAAAAAAAATTTTTATTATGCAGATGAATAATATATTTATTATGATTATATCATATTTACAATGTGGAACAGATATTGAGAAGAACGAGACAAGAGATATATCAGATTTAAAAAGAAGATTCTCTGAAGAATGTAGAATTATAGAAAGTGTTTTACAGGTAGTGAGGAAAGAAATAAAAAAGACAAAACTCAAAAAAGATATAAAAACTTATCTAAAAAAACCAATTACATCTCTAATAGTAGTTTAGTAGATAAGAATGATAAATTAATAGATGAATTGAGTGAAGATGAATTAAGTGAAATGAGTGAAAGTATTGATATGGAATTAAAATTAGTTATAGAAGATGAATCAGATGAATATTATAAAGATGAATCAAGTGATATTAGTGAATTAAATGAAAAAGAATTAAATGAATTAAAATTAAAGAAATTAAAAGAATTTAAATCAACATTAAACAATAAAAGTAATTATTTAACAAAGAAATTAAATGAAGATGGATTAAGTGAGGTTGATGAAGTATCAGAAAAAATTAATGAAAGATTAAAAGAATTTAAAGATGAAAAATTAAAAGAGAAAGAAAAATTAAAAAATCGCAACAAAAATATGATGTATCTTATGATTTTAAGCAACAATTCACAACTAAATAGAAATAATTAATCAAATTAAACTTTATTAATTTTTATTTATCTTTTCAGCAGAACCTTCTAAATATTTAAGTGCTTTTTTATTAAAAGCATCTATATCATCTCTATATTGAATTGAGGCATCAACATTAGCAGGACTTTCAATATTAGGTTCTCTTAATAAAAGATTAATAGACACACAAACAGTTCTCACTGTATTAACAGGAGTCCAAGAACAATTACTAAAGTAATCACTAATTACCGGATCATCACTACTCTCTAAAGTTGATAAACAAACCTTTCCATTAGGATAAATGTTGGGGTGCCATACTTTAGTTAGAAATCGAAATGAAAAAGGCTCAATTGGATACCGTTTAGGGAAAATAATTTCACCTTTCAATTTATAGTTCTGAAATGGCGTATCAGGAGAACCAACAAATGTAACTATCCATCTTCCAATATCTTCAAATCCATCCGCATCTTTACAAATTTCTACTTCTATATTAATGTGTTTGTCATTTTTAATCATAGCTAATTCCTTTTTAATTCTATTAATTGCCATTTTATCAAGTTCAATCTTCTCCTCGTTGTGAACCATAATGCTTCTATTAAGGGATTCAAAATAAATAAATTTTATATAAAAACAAACATTTAAAAATTACAGTCTTGATAAATTAATCTTAATTCTGATGTACTAATAGAAGTAAAGTTATACTTCTTTTATAATTAATCATTATTTACCCCTTTAAATACAATCATAATAAATTTTATTAAAAAACAAAGTTTATTAGAATTTCAAATATTTATAAATCCAAAGTAGTATAAAGTTAATTAATAATCTAGATAAAGGATTGTTATTAACATAAGAAGGATAGAGTATGATTAAATATTCCCAATTATAATCAATTGATTTTAGGTAAAGAATAACAAATCCTATTAAATCAATTTCAAAATCATAAAACATACTAAATACACTAAAAAGTAAGTAATAAAGTCTATTTTCAGTAATTAAGATTAAAAACAGCCAAATGTTAAAATCGTAAAAATCAATCTTTTTTAAATTCTCAATATCAAATTGATATTCAGTATCAACCACTTTAATTTCTTTAGCCCTAATTACATCATCTTTAACATAAAATTTTAGTAATTCATAACTATTTTTACTTTCCATATAAGGTATTTCAGCAGGAAAGAAACTTAAAATCATTATAAATGATAATAAACACCTAATATACATAAAATTAGTATTTTTAAAGCATTCGTTTAAAAAGAATCCCACTAACTCAATGTAATGAATAAACAAATCAAACTTTCTAGTATTTAAAAACCTTGTAGTATAAATTTGCATATAAGAAACACCAATCATAAAATAGTATAAATAATCTAAATATTCATAATCACTATAATCACCATTTAAATAAATATTATAAGAATATAAAGAGTAGACAACATAAGTAAATATAGCAATTAAATACTTCAACCTTGATTTCATATTAATTTCAATTAAATCAATAATTTGAATAAAAACACCACCTGCAAGAATAATAAGAATGTTCTTGAAATTAACAATTATAGAGGTAATTTCAAGTAAAGTACTAAAGTAAGGCAATGAATAAAGTATAAATTGCAACATAACTCTACCCTTGATAGGATGATACAAAATCATAAATAATAAACAAAGATTTATTTTTCATATAAAACATCAGCAATTAAATTGATTAATTCATCTTTGTTAAAATCATCATTCTTCTTTAATAAACTTTCTATTTTAACTAATTTTTGATAATAAAAATTAACTTCTTTTTGATATTCATTACATGCTTTTTTATATAAATTTATATTATCATTTATATTATCATTATCTTTATTGTTTATTTTATCTTTATCATTATTATTATTATCTACTTTATCATTAATTTTATTATTTAAATCATTATTAATAAAATTAACCTTATTATTATCATTTAAATTATTATTATCATTTAAATCTTTTTTATCATTAAAATTATAAATTTTTAACTTATTAAAATGATTATAAAAATATTGAAGTATTTCTAAATTATCTTGTAATCTTAAATTAATCATCTTAGAAATTGGTATTAATAATCTAATATTCATAGAATTAAAGAATGATTTAACAAGACTTAAATTATATAAATAATCATTTTGTGATCTTGGATTTAATCTTATTTTATCTATTGGTAATTTATCAGGATAATACTTATTTATTATTAAACATAATATTTCTCCTTTACCCACATCTTCTATCCTACTTATCTTTATATTTAGTTTATTTACCCAATTTATTAGCTCTCCTTTTCCAATAAAAATCATCTATTAAAAATTTTAAAATTATTTTATTAATTAACACATTTTTTATGCATGTAACTACCATCATTTAATTTTATTGAATCTTTTAATATCCAATTCTCATTTATGTCATCCCAAAACTTTATTATTCTTTTATTACAAACTTTACAAACAGGTGAGTCTTCATTACAAATAAACTTACTGTTTTCAATTATAGGAAATTGTAAATTACTTTTTACTGTCTTTACATTTTGTTTTATAAAATAATCTCTTCTTAATATTACTACCGATGTTGATTGTGATCTTCTTCTATGATCATCAATATGTACTTTTAATTGATCATACTCACTATACCTCAACCCACATATATTACACTGTAAGGGTAGATATAAACAAGTAGGTGTAACTAGTTTATTGGGTTTATTTACTACTACTTTGGGCGTGTAAATATTATTATAAAATATACTTTCAACATTTTTAACTCTTTTTACTTTATTATTGTTTGATATACTAGTTTTATGATCTTCCCTCTTTATTTTGTTAGTGCTTATTTTACAACTTTCTACTTTTGAGTTTTCTAATTGTGTTATATCATTGTTAATAAAGTGTCCTTTTAATACTTCGTTATTTCTTAAGTAGTTTATTTTATCTAAATATAACTTTATATCTTCAAGATTATTAGTATTACTACTATTAGATAGTAATTTATTTATTACTAGTTCTAATGATCCTTTATCATCTAGTAAGAATTCGATCGTTTTTCTTTCTATTACATTGTCTTTTTGAAATGTTTTTAGAAAATCTTCCATCGTTCTTCTCTACTTTAATTGTTTATTTAAATTATTTTATGTAATTTTATTTAAAAAAATTATTGCATGAATTATAGAGAGACTAAACAGAGTGAATTTATTGATAATGATCATTCTTGTAAATATTGTAACAATCCAACTGTTTGTAAATGCAAAGAGTGTAATGTTTATTACTGTAATGATTCTTCTGATGGTATAAGTCATATTATCTACCACATGGTCAAATCTAAACACATTGAATTAATTATCAATGATAGACTTATTTACTGTGAGAATTGTAAACAAACTAATTTATTTAAAATGGGTTACACTATTGAAAATGAGTCTTTAAGTTCAGATTTAATTGAACATTTAAAGGGATTATCAATTGATGACATAAAAAGCAATAAGAGTTATTTAACTAACTTGAAATTTTTTTGTAAATTTTGTGGAGATCATAAACCTATAATTAAAAATAAGGTTTTAGACTTTTTAGAAAGTTATATTTCTGATGTGGATATTAAATCTTTTGAAAAGAATTCTTTACCGATTGTTAGAGTCAATTTTACTCCATTTAGTTATATGGAAACGTTTAAAACTTTAATTAAAGCTGAATCATTAAAAGAGAAAGATATTAAAGAGTCTATGAAACAAGAAAATGTTAAGTTAAGACTTGAAGAAAATTATGTTTATTTTTGTTATAGAAGAACTAATGAATTAAAGATTAATATTTCTGATGAGATTAGATTTTCTAGAAAAAATGTTAGTTTTATTGGAGTTGTTTGTAGAGATCAATTTACTGATGAATTAAAAGTTGAAATTAATGAATCTGATATTGATAAAGTACTAGCCAATAATATTTTTAATGTTGAATTTATATTGAAGAGTGTTTGTTATGACAGGATGAAAAACGCTTTAAACAAACTTTATAAAGATAGAAATAAGAATTTAATTTTTAAATTAATATTATCAAATCAATGGTTAAATGAAAATACAGGTGAATCTAAATTATTTAAAGAAAATCTTAATGGGGAAATTAAGAATATTTTAGTTCCTAATAATTTTCCAACTCTAAATGATAGTCAAGCAGTAGCAGTTAAAGCATCTCTTAATAAAACATTAACTTTAATACAGGGACCACCGGGAACAGGAAAAACGTTTGTATCAGCTGTAATAGTTTATAATTTTGTTAAGTTATTTAAAAAGAAAGTATTAATTGTAGCTCCATCTAATACAGCAGTTGATCAATTAGCAATAAAAATTAATTCAACAGGAATTAAAGTACTCAGAGTTATGAGTAGAAGAAAAGAAAGTGAGAAAACTGAAATAGATTTTTTATCTCTTCATACTTTAGTTAAATCATTTAAAGTTGATGTTAAAGATGAGGGAATTATAAAAGATGAGTTAATCAAAGCAGCAGAAGTGGTTTGTTGTACTTGTGTTACTGCTGGAATGAAATTATTTAAGAAATTCTCATTTCCAGTTGTTTTAATTGATGAAGCTGTTCAATGTACTGAACCACTATCTTTAATACCATGTGTTTATAATCCAAGTCAATTGATACTAGTGGGTGATCATAAGCAATTAGGACCAACTGTATTAAATAAGGATGTTATTAAGTGTGGATTTAAACAAAGTTTATTTGAAAGGTTGTTAAAATTAGATTATATTCCTTATTTATTAACTATTCAATATAGAATGATTATACCACTTTGTGAGTTCCCAAGTGAATATTTCTATTCGGGACTGTTAAAAACTTCTACCAAACCATTCTTAAGGAACTTGTTCATGCCATCTAATTTCTTTTATTGTTGTGATGGTAAAGAAGAAGTTTCCCAAAGTGGAACTTCTTATGTTAATAAAAAAGAAGCTGTATTGGTTGAAAATGTTACCAGACATCTTTTTAAGAATGGTATATTAGAATCTCAGATTGGAATCATTACACCGTATGAGGGTCAAAGATCTCATATTTTAGATAATTTACAGGAGGCTGGTAATCTAGAAATATCAAATGTTGATGGATTTCAAGGGAGGGAAAAAGATTTTATCATAGTTTCATTAGTTAGATCTAATAACTACCAAGGAATTGGATTTGTTGCTGATAGAAGAAGAATGAATGTAACTTTAACTAGAGCTAAGTATGGACTAGTAATAATTGGAGATCCATTTACTCTTAATAAGTGTTCAATGTGGGCTGATTTACTTGCTTTTTATGATAATAAGGGACGCATATTGAAAGGATCATTGAGTAATTTAAAGAATGTTGATTTAAAAACTCTTATTAATTAAATTTATTTTAAATTTTCAATTAATTTCCTAATATAGAATATTTTATCATCTTTAAAAGTTTCTATAACTAACTCTTTATCTAAATTCAATTTTTCATAATTATTAATAATTAAAGATTTGTATCTCCAATCTAGTGTGTTATCTTCCTCATTAATTATTTTCATTGCAGTTGTTGTTATAAATTCTTTATCAAATTTATTCCAATTATTAACTAAAACCGACAATACTAATTCTTTACTACTGACACTTTTTAATATTAATGTTTTAATGAGTTCATTAACTGAATATTCTTTATTGTCATGTTGTTTATGAAATTCATTAAGCATTACAATTGAACAAAGTCTATCAAATTGTTTTAACTTTTCAATTCTATTAAAATCCTCTTTAAAAAAACTCATTGGAATATCTTTTGTATCAGTACAAGTAAATCTAATTGTATCTTTAAATATAAGATTTTCATCATTGGCTATATCTTTATGTTTAATATATTTACTACGATCATATCCTTCATTGTCTGGTTTAAATTCATTAATTATACTTTTATGTAATTTATCTTTATCTATTATGATGAAATCTTTATTATTTTCTATAAATTCATTTAATTCTTTATTTAAATCATTATCTAAGTCATCATCTAATAATAAAGGTATAACATCTTTAAGTAATGTTAATATTAACTTATGTATTATTTTACTTTTATTTCTTAAAATACTATTTAATATATGATGAATATATTTCTTATTGATATTATTTGTTTCCAAATATAGAATTATTTTTTTAAATATTTTAACTGCATGAATAGAATGGAATTCATAATAGTAAAAATATTCTAAATAGTATTTGATAACATAACTATTTATAATCATATTTTCTTTAATAATAGTACACCATAAATCATTTATAGTTATATATTTATAAAAATAAAATGGTAAATTATAATCATTTGATACACCAAAAAATGATTTAGATGGAATTAATTTGATTAACAATACAAACAATTTAGTATCAAATCTAAATTCAATCAATTTAAATAAATACTCTAAACATTCATTATCATGCTCATTAAAATGCTTTATAAAAGTATCTATTAAATCTTCCTCTTCATTATCCAATGATAAATTAGTTAATAAATCTTTTATCAAAATATCTTTGGTAATCACATTATCTTTATCATTTTTAACAGATTTACCTTCTGCTAGTAACTTTTCTATTCTAACATACAAAAATGTTTTCTTATCATTTTTATCAATTAATTCCAATAACAAATTAAAATGATTAATTTTATACTTTTTGTAAATATTTTTTATCAACTCTATTAATGAAGACATGTTTTCTTTAATTAGAGGTTTAATTAATTTATCAAAGTGTTTAATATAAAAAGAATCACTTGTTTTTTTATTAGATTTTGTTAATATACTTTTTAATTCATCATCATATTCAATCCCTTCCATCTCATACCTAATTTGTTTAGCTATTATATACAAACATTTAGAAACACTCTCCGATGACAACCTCTTTATCTTTTCCACACTATTAAATACATCTTTATCTTCTTTATAATATTCTCTAATGTTTCTATAAAAATATATTACATCTATATCTACATTCATGTTTAGCTTTTTAATGTCTTTCATGTTTGTTTGTTAAATTAAACAAATAAATTTTTTTTAAAAAAATAATTTTATTAACTTCTTTCTTCCTTAATCACTACAAGTTTCCATTTTTTAATGATACTACTTGCAAGACTTCTAACTTCATAACTCTCTTTCATGTTTTGTGCATAGAAATTAACTATCTTTCCTATATCTGATTTTAATAGATCATTTTTAGTTATTAAATTCATTCCGTTAAGTAATTCAAGTAACTGTTTTTTTATTTTGATATTTGGAAGTGATTTATCTGGTAACGGTTCTAACCATAACTTTATTTCATATAAAACATTTTTTTGTAGTAAGATTTCTTGTAAATTTATATTAAACATCTTAGAAGTTATATCATTTACATGTTTAATTCTTAAAAGCTCTCCCCTTATATTTGATCTAAGCATTCTTATATCATTTTCATAATAATTTCTCATTAGACTTATAAGTTTATTAGCTTGATCTTCTAAACTTTCCCCTTTCTTAACTTTTTTATTATTCTTAACCTTCTTTTCCTTTTTTAATTCACGGATGTTAATATCTTCTTTATTATTACTCTCATCATCAATCAACATTTTTATTAGAAAAAATTAAATCACTTTTATGAAAAATTTTTTAATCTTTGAATTTGTTTCAACTACCTATTTAAATTATTATGATGTTAGTAATAATGAAAACATTGGGCAAGGATATAAAGAATTTAATAATTTTAGAGAATTACCAAGAAATGATCTACCTAAATTATCTGAACAGGAATTGCCAAAAAGAAAATCTGTTGATTCTGAATTAATATGTCGGTTTGAATTATTAATTATTTATTTCAGTGTAAATTTGAAAATTCTAATAGAAACAGCTTCAGAATTAATTTATTCATTTGGAGTTGATAATAATTTTAACGCGAAATTTAATGATTTAAAAGAAATTAAACATTCAATTGACAAGATCTTTGTGTATTTAATAGTAAATGGGATTTTAAAAATAGTCTATATTGATGGGAATATAATGAAATATAAAGTTTTACAAAACATTTCTCAACCGTATTTTTTAACTTATATTGTTTTAAAAGATTTCAACTACTCAGTTGTGAATATTAAGCTTTTAATATACTCAACTATTCAGTTTTTTGAAATTTTCAAAGTGTTTTGTATTAATAAGATGAGGGAATTGAATATTGATGAAAATGAAATTAAAAAATTGGATGAAATATGTGGAAATATGTATGAAAAATTAGAAAAGTATATTAATTAAATAAAATTTTTCTAAAATATAGTTAGAGAATTGATTTAATTATCATAAAGTTCAACTCTGGCTTCATTAATTTTTAAATTAAGATCATCTAAAAGTGTTGACAAATTAGATAATTTAAAGAATTCCAATGTTATTTCTTTAAT